CAGCCCTAGTTATAGCTTTTCGGATTTATGGGTATTATTTTCTCCAGTAAAGATTTATTACTCGGAATAAGATCTCGTGATTAATAACTAATGTATTATATTATTATTATGTATGAACAATATTTCTTAAAAAAAATATCGACATTCAACGTTTTCTGGTAACACCATTAAAAACGCGCTTTTAAATTGCTATCGCAAAACTATTACATGCGAATGTCGATTCATATTGCTGTATCATTATCGTCTTTCTCGCGTTTAGTGCTACACATTTACTCACCGTTTTGGCATTTGATACGATTATTAAATCACAAAGTCTGTCGGTGACGGAGTGGTCAGTAGGGAAGGGAGAGTAATAGAAAAACAAAAAGAGATTTTTAAAACCGAGAACTGTTAATCGGTTCGTTACGAAACGACGACGTTTGTCTGAATATTATGATATATTATTATATTTGTTTATGTAACATGATCCGAATTAAGGAACCTGTGGCAAAGTAAGGACTAAAATTTGCAACACGCAAACAAATAAAGTTTCGGGATAAAATTTGGTCATCAGCCGTGGGTATAGATTATTAGATTATCATTTATCGTTTATATATATATGATTTGATGGTACGAATATGCATTAATTGTAATTATCTAAATTAGTGGTTCCGAACTTATTTCATTCTACACCTTATAAAATTAAATGTTTCATGATCTCTTTTGTTTACTATGTAAATAAAGTAACTCAATATAAATACGTAACGACTAGTTTTTTTTTTTTTTTTTTTTAATTGATAATATTAGTTTATATACTCTACGATAACTACCTGCACCATTTAGCAATGTATTCACATCTTGCTAGAATTGGAAAATACTGATCTAAACTAATGTTCCGGTAAACATTTTTACTAAACATAATACGGTAACAAAGTTAAATGTGTTTTCCCGGTTTTCTTTGTATATATTTACCATTTTCTTTCTCTTTTTCTATGCTTAATATCTATCTGAAAGTGCATGAGCACACTTATTGCAGTACTTCCAATCGTAGACGTTTTCAAAATTATCGCACGTATGCGCTTTCTGAATAAACGGTCGGCGCCGAGTACTCATCGCAAGTTACACGGGGCCGCACGTACACAGTAATGATAATTAACTGTCGTCGGAGATTAAACAATGGTTAGAGAATATATAACAATTATTCTGTGTTCGTGCGTGCGGTCATGAAAAATTCATTATAAGTAGGTTTTTATCCAAAATGTTTCACGAGAAAACACGGAGTACACTGTCGGGAAGTTGAAGAGCCTTTTTCCTGCTACTGGACACATATTATTATCGTCTCGTACAAACACCGGGGATGAATGCTATAAAATATGTCATAAACATTTGACGCCAAGTTTTTTTTTTTTAACATTTCCAATGTGTGTCGGTAAACATTGTTCGCACGTCTTTTAAAGAACATTTATATACACGATAATGATTATCCTCTATGTCACGTTAACCAAATTTGTCGATATGTCCGATCGTCTTAATTTTACGTCGAGTCCTGCATTACATTCTCGATGATAAATTAAAAAAATAAATCTATTTAATACACAAACATCGTGCAGTCGATGCGTGCTGCGTTCGCGAAACCAATATAACGGACAATTCGTATACGAATTAGATATACTTATAATGGTCTGAGTATAATGTAATAATGTTATTATGTAACTTTCCGCGAAGCGAACGAAGGCGGGGGTTGTTGACTGTTTAGTGCAACTCCTTTCATCGTAATAATATTATGGACGTAAGATGATTTTTTCGTTATCAAATAAGAATCAGTGCATACATCCTCATAATGCGCAGCATTACATGAAAGACATTATGTTATTAAAATGCAGTTAGAACCAGAATTTATGTTGTATCTAAGCCGACAACATAGGTATATTTGTTTGATTCCGTCAAAACACGTTGCATGTGAACCCGGTTAAATATTACAAAATAAATAGGAATCTTTTAAACTTAAATCATTTCATCACCGTATAATATTATGATTTCGTTTAGACAAAGTTTAACAAAAAACTACGGAAAAAAATCACGTATCAATCGCTTATGGTTATCAAAAGTATCGCCATACTCAACTATAACTATATTAATTATATGGTCATTGAGGATAACGGGTAGTATGACTAATTAATTTTAATTTTTTTTAAGTACAAGCAAGGGCGCCGTGAGGGGGGCGCAAGGGGGTGCAAGGGTCAAAAAAAAAAATTAATGATACCTACTGAAAATATTTCATCTTGCATTGGTAATCTATTATATTTATTTTACATAATTATCTATTAAAAATTATAATACTTATTTTACATAATAATTATTGTTTATCTATTATAAATTATAATATTTATTTTTTAAATAATAACTGTAAACGCTTATGTTTTTTTCAATATTAAGGACATGCCAGTTTTCATAAGTATATTTAATTTATAAATCGGTCACTTTCATCACATGTGATAAGCTTACGAGTTGTCGATCATAATCGGATTTTCTAATCGTAGCCAATACATTGTGTCCGACAAATAAACAAAAATAACTTTGTATCGACATATAATTTGAAAAAATATTTCTACGTATTTCTACTAAAATAAATTGAAGATTATTTAAAAATCAGCATATACTATGCACGATGCACCCCCCAGTCAATATTCCATGCGGTGCCCTTGAGTACAAGTAATGATAATAACGAAATGCAAATCTGATTAAATAATATAAACGGTTCCAAACAAAGTGATTATGTACATTTTTGTTTGATTAAAAAAAAAAAATAATAAATAAATAAAGTAAAAATACGTTGACGCAAAGAAACTTCATCACTTATGACGTATGTACATTTTTGAGTATTTTTGAGTATATAATGACTGATGCTCTTTAAACCGACCGCCCCACGATTTCGATTGGATATAATTATCACGCAAAAACAGTACTGGGATTATAACACTTGTAAAACGAGTGAAAGAAGGAGGGAGAAATGATGGTCTGTAGTAAAAACGATATCGTTTTGTATCGTTTTATTGTATTTTTTTTCCGCCCTAATGTCAATCAAAGCGTATACGATGATGTGGTCGAGTAACCGGAGCGGGCGTGCGAAAACCCGATTGAACACTGACACAGTTCGAAGCGCGTTATCTCGTGGGACCATGAACTCCGGTCGAGATCGTGATCTATATATATAACAGTGATCGTTTGTACTCATTGGGTGTCCTTGTTCGGTCTAATGAACTCGAAACAAATTTACGAAAAATAAAATAAAAATATAAAAATAATACCCAACGGGTCAGTCGGTTACAGATAATTTTTTGAAAGCATTCACGGGTTTTCGTTTTCACCTCTTCCTCGGGAATCTCACAATCTGTCTAGTGCAGCAAACCGAGAAAACCGTAAAGTTACACTTAGAAACCCGCATGGTCGAACAGCGTGTTTACACAAGCGTACGATAAACGTACGAGCATCCGTCGAAAATAAAAATAATAAATGATGAACTACATTATCTCCACTATTTTCTCGTCTGTTACGGATAGTGTTTTTTTTTTTTCATGTATTATTTTCTAATTTTACCAATTCGACCCGTAGAATTTTATCCTGTGAAACGTGCGTGTCTCATAAAAGTTTACATTTTTCAGCGATACAATTATTTACCAAACCGTAATCTGTCCATAGTGACCTTTGCAATAATATTTAATTATTTCCATTGAAAAATGGAAAATTTCAAACAAACCGGGCTAATTTTATGCAAACTTATTGTAGAAAAAAAAAGTGACAACTATTTATTGGAAAATTCAGTTGCAAACACCGGAATAAAGGAAAACCTTTTATTTGACGGATTTTGAGTTATATCCGTTCAGCCGATCCATCCGATTCGTCTGAATCACGTATTTAAGATATAGGTTCGATGCAGTTTTATTTAAATCAAAAACTGATCTTACGTAGAAAACGGAATTATAGGAACTAACAGAATGCTATTAAAGGTTGACGATTTGTTTTTATTAGCGAAAAATCGAAAGCGTAATAGTGGGGGAAAGAGAATACACATATAAGAATTTCTTTTTCCAGACCACGGCTGTCACAAAATCGATTTTTATCGGTACACACTATCGCGTTTTGTGAACAGGTAGCCATGCTAAAACCAATTATTCGTTCGGATGTGCCTTGGCTTTTTAATTTGTATGATCTCGTGTTACGCGCACGCACGCAAAAGAGTGTGCTACAACAGGGAGCATTCAGAGTTCGACGTTGGTACGTGTGATGCGGTGGCGAAGGCAAGGGAGAACGGATTCTTCCGCTTTGTCTGAGAGCCGTAAATTTTGTGATTACATTATATTATTATCACCCCTGTCAACGCGTGTAACAATAATAAATTCACACAGTCGCACAACATACGCATACACGTACGCGTAAACAATAACAAACCCGCACGCACACATCAAGCGAATGCCCGTACGTCTACACAGACGTATGTATGCGATGGAACGAATACATCGAGTCCATAGTTAATGACCGTCTATTGTTCGGAGGCAATAGTGCATAGTGCGTCTCCCATGTTATTGGGAGACCCGGACAAACGGTTTTTTGTTTATTTGACAAGCGTTTATATATCTCTGTTAACGATAATAATTTCACGACCATCAAGTTTTCCCGTTGAGCCACTCGTGTCGTCCGTGCATACATATATATTTATATGTGCATATCATGTACCCATCGACGACCTTTTTTGTAATCAACTCGTCGAAATTCTATTTTAAACCGAAATATTTCACCCCAAATACGATATATTATTACATTGACGAACGTGGTTTAGTTGTTATTCGTCGAATGCGTTTCACCCGTGTGTGTACTAATTTGCATGTACATGGCGATCAAACGATCGATTCAAATCCACCACCATTAGTAGATATTTTACTGCGCGATACATCATTATAATACCTCCTATTCAAAGGATAATGTTTGCTTAATGATTTACACTTGTACGTTTTGTGTTTCAGTGGCGATCTTGGGATTGGCTAAGGGTGACTCGTCGCCAGGGCCCGTGTACATCAATCCAGATTTAGCCTACGAGAAACCGGAACCAGTTGCTTCGCAGGTGGTGCCGGCGGATTCCCAAATCACGCAAACCGTATATGGATTTTTGGACTTCACCACAACGATTGGTAACACTGTTATGGTTTTCATGCCGCAGAGCGCATCCATTACACCGGGTAAAATAAAAATACCAAAAAATATTCGAATAAAACCAATCGTTTTACATGTCTAATGTAATTATTTTTTTATTTTTAGGCACTACGACGGCCGAAGAACCATCTACCACCGAGACCACAGCTACGACTACAATTGAAGAAAAACCGATTATTTCAAAAGGGCAGTTAGAAGCGTTGCCCATCGATATTAGCCCGAGTAAACCAGTGAACTTACCGAACGATTCACAAATCGAAGAAATATTCACCACTCCGGATGAACCGTTAACCACCACGAAAGAAGTGACCTCTGCAGAACCTACGACAACATCGACAACTACTACTACGAAGGAACCGCCGACAACGAAAAACGTGGTCAAGAAATTGGAACAGGAGAAAAAGGCAACTGGTGCTCCAGTGACGACGAAAAAGACCACTGCGAAGCCTACTACGCCAATCCCTCCGAAACCGGTCGAAAACGCGAAAAAAGAAACAGTGATCAGTTCAAAAGTTACAGTGTTGTCGGGTTCAAAAGTTGTAGAAAATATTGTCTCAAAGGTAGACGTCATCGAAGACAGCACTCCGGAGCCCTCAAAAGTGACGGAGAAACTGATTTTCAGTAAGGTGGAAGTGATCTCTGGTGAACCGGTTGAAGAAGTTGCCGTCAATAATTTGCAACCGACACCGGAATACGATTATCTTTCCCGGCAACCATCTGAAGTTGTGGACGAGACGTTCAAAGTTATTGACTTAAAACCCAGTGTGTCGAGGCACAGCAGCAACCAAAAGAATCGTGGACCTGATGGAAAGGTTCGCGCGTTTAATTCGGTGGCAAATTTCAACACCGACGAAGAGTCGATTACGACAAACAAGGCGCCGAAAAAAGTAGCCGTAAAAATATTGCCATCGTCGTCTGGTATACGGATACTGAAAACAGCAGCACCGAAATCGTCAACCAGGTCACCGAATGTGGAGCCCACACCTGTTTCCTCTGGATTGGACGACGAGTCTTTGGAATCCTTGGTGGTCTCTCAGCCCAACTCTGTGTTGGTCCGGCAATCCAGAAGACCAGCGATTGGTGGTGGATTCGGTAAGAACAAGTCTACTCCAAAGAGCAAGGTAACTAAGGAGTCCGACGACTATTCGACAACTGACGAGGATCAAAACGACTTCACCTCTCCGCAACAGAGCGAACCGACAACACCGAGCTACAGGAAGGGATCAAAATTCTCATCGAAAGGAACAACGACCACTACGCAGAGAGTTCCTAGCTTCAAACAAAACAGATTTTATAGACCGACTACCGCGGAACCCGAGACGGATACAACCGAAGGCGTAGCAACGCAGAGGAGATTCCAGCCTAGTGCCAAACGCTACGACAGCAACAACAACGGTGCGACTTCTGCGGCCGTGGTGACGCCTGCCAATCGGAGAACGTTTAAGAAACACTTCCAGCAACAGGAGCAACAGCAACAGTCCTCCTATCAGCAGCAGTCGAGCCCACAACCCGTGCCCACCGCTCCACTGACATTCAAGTCCAAGCTCATCCGGCCAACCGGCCGTTGGGAGTACAAAACTTCGCCGAAGCCTCGTGTCACCATCCGTCGTATCGACGATATCCGCCACAACCAGGAGAATGCCACCACACCATTGACACCACATTTTCATCCAGACGTGCAAGTCGATTCCGGTGATCAGGCGTTGGCGGGATCAGGACTGTTGCCAGCCTTGCAACACGACGACGATAACGACGTTCTTATCCAAGACGTAACCCCTACCGCGAGTGCTGAAACCATTCGGGTAGAAATATCTACACCCGCTGAGTTTAAAGATGTCTACTACGAGATAGCTACAATTAAATCGCCATACTCATTCCAAGTAAATAATTGATTCATTTAATTTTCTTCGAAGTATAGATTTAATGTGAGTTTCAAAGTAAAGTGTCAGTGGTAGTATTTTGCAATTAATTGCAACATTATACGTTTTCATCATTTCAATATGACAAATAATATAAATATAATCAATATCATTACAACGGTGAGGTAGGTCTAGTTTTTGTCAATGAAATTAAAAATTATAGGGCTAACAATTGGCATTGTTTTTAATGAATCCATTGTAATCGCGTAGTTTACCTTCTGGTGGGTTTGAAAAAATAAGCCTTAATTTGTAGAATAATCACGATTTTTAGGGTTTTATGATAATTTTCAAATCCTTGATTATCGGCTAGATAGGTAGAAGAATAAACAACCATTCAGGAAAGTCTTAGAGTATTGATGGAGGGTTTTGCTCTTGCGCGTTGTTTAGCAATTTTTAACGACCGTTTTTTTTCTTTTTTTGTGTTCTCCCTACATCAGGTGGGTACGGTGAAAAACACCAGATTTATCACGGTCACGTCAACCATTCAAAAGAGCCTGGTCGAGCAGACGGAGACGCCGGCGCCGGCCCGCGTAGAACCACTGTCGGAGAACATACTGGCCAGCCAGTCGCCCAACCCGTACGGCCGGGAGCAGCCGATCGATTCGAGCGTGGCCACGCTGCCACCGATCGCCCTGTCACCAGACCAGGCGACGCCGCCATTGGAAACGATGACCGAGAGTTTCAGTACGACGGAACTGATGCTGAAGACGCACGTTTTGCCGGTGGTGCGTGGCACGGACACCAGTAGCGTGACGCTGATCCAATCGTATCGAGTAACGCGGCTTGTGACGGCGGTTAAGACGTTGCCACCAATGGAGGTGTACCAGTTCGTACCCAGCAAGACGCTGAACGAGTTCAACACACGACTGGACGAGGCCGGATCGGAGCTGCACCTGGAGCTAGAGTACGGCGACAACAACGATGAGGAGTCGTCGTCGCACCCGAACGCAGCCAAAGCGTTCCTCAATAGCCTGGACCTGGCCAACGTAGGCTCGGACTTCGACGTGGTATCGCATATGGACCAACATCGGACCACTACCGGCGGTGGGCCGCGGTCGAAGAAGGCGCACCGGGCAACGGCCTCCGGCAATGGGACGAACACTGCGGACCAGCAGCCCCTGCTGCCGCTGATGGCCGCCATGAGCCCTGAGCAGCTGCAACAGCTCGCCCTGTACCGTTTGCTCAATCCTAACGCGCCCCTGCCCGCACCCGTCATCACCACATCCCGACCAGTTCTGCGCTTCGAGACCGTGTTTGAGACGCACGCCCTACCCGTGGTCAACGGTGGTTCCACCTACTACACAACACTGTCCAGGCCAGTGGGCACCGTGACCCGTACCGACTACGAAATGTTCACGACCACGCTAGCCGTTCCCCAGCCTCAGCAGCAGTTGCTGCCTACCCCTCTATTTCCCCAGCAGCCGTCCCTGTTCCCGCAACAGATGCAGCCGTCCCTGTTCCCCCAGCAGCAGCAGCAGTTGCAACCATCTCTGTTCCCCCAGCAGCAGCAGTTGCAACCGTCCCTGTTCCCGCAGCAGCAGCCATCGTTCGCCATCACGTCCACGCCCGTCGTCACACAATCCATGGTCACGCAGACTGACAGCAGGGTCCTAAAGCTTACGTTCGGTGCCAAGACCGCGTATACTACGATCTACTCTAGCTCCGTAGTGCCCACCCAGGTCACGTCGTACATCACGCAGTCCGTAGCAGTGCAGCCCACCGTCGCGCCGTTTCCCAACTTCATACCGTATGGCGGCTACCCGTTCCTGGGCTAATAGGCCCTCCGGTCGTCGGTCGCCGTCGTCGCCCGCGTGCCATTTATTATTAAACCTTTCGTTCTTGCGTCTAAACAAATAATTTTAACTATAATTATTATTATTATTATTATTAATTTTAATACTGTTGTATAGCCATAGACTTGTACATAATATTATATAATGTAAAAAACTCGCTCAAATATCGTATAAAACGTTCGGTGGGAGCATTATTACTGTAATGATTATTATTATTATTATTATTATTATTATTATTATTATTATTATTATTAATCTTATTATTATTATTATTATTATTATCATTATTATTAATTTTAGTATGTAAATAGTGTCTTTTCATCAGGACGGACCGGTCGGACAATACTATCTCGTGTACAATGTAGTATAGGATTTGTTTCACTGGGCGCATCCGTTGAGATTGTTTTTATACGTAGGTATATGTTTTCTGGTAATTTTACTTATAGAATCTGCTCCCGACGTGTACTGATTGCACGACACAAACGTTGTTGTCCAAAGGCAAAACTCGATTCCGCGATCACAACGCGTGTTGAATCGTCGCAGCGGCATAGTAGTATTGCGTCGACCATAAATCCGCGTTCTTTTCGCGCTCTCGGTACACGTTATTAGAATATCGTATCGCAGGAAATCTAAAAGGAAAACAGTAACAGTTGATGCTAAGTACTGGTGCAGCTCTTGCGGCAATAATTATTATTATACTGTAGCATATCATAAATGATTTTTTCGCCTTATCACGTCGTGCATTGCCGTCGAACGTTGCCGCTCGTTCGTTCATTTATTACCCGACCCTAGAATCAAACTTTGAAAGTCGGCCAAAAGTTCACGGTGTATCTTCTACCCGGCGCTTCGTTTGCTACGATTCTGACCCACGCCGACTACTCCTCAACCCTTCTACCCTCCGCTCATCGGGTTAAATAACAACAAATCTGGATGCAAGTCGTGATTAATTACTTTTTTCCGATACAAAACGATTTCCGAAAAGAGAGCGAGGTGCCAAATACTATATTATAAGAAGTCTAAAAGAAAGGAAGAAATAAACAGAAAAAACCAAAAAAAAAACCACGTTTTGAGTAGCATTATAAATGTTATACCATTAGTATTGAGTGTAGTGGAATATTCTGTTTAAATCATAAATTATGTTTAAGTGTAATTATGTTTTATATATCATTATTATTATGTTTATTTTTATAAATCATATATGTAATATTTTATTATAACAAATTTATTCTTTCAAATTTTATTAGTATAAGTTAATAAAATATTTGTACAGTTTAATTGAATCATAATTGATTGTTTTCTTATATCCTACTGATCATTTAGATCTCTTATCACTTCTATTTTAATAACATAATACGTAATACTGAGTTCAACACTTTCTGTCAAAAATTTTCCCAACACTCAGATTCATCATGTGACTTCATTATAGCTACTATATTATAGTCTACCACACACATATAACCTATGTGGAGTATGATTTAAACATTTCGAAGTTCAGATTTATATGCTAAAGACTAGCCAAAATTACTCTTACAAAAGCTTAAATATGCTGGATATACATTATACGCACGAATGAAAATAAAATGATTACAATTTTTATAAAAGGTCGGTATTATGATTTATAACCGATGTTATAATATTATTTACAGACAACACACACAAACACACACACTTATATTTATTATATGCATACTAAAAACATGTTTTTCAAGTGAAGATAAATCGTTTTTTTCTTTGAGATAAAATGTTTTATTTAACAATTTTTTCCCCACACCAACCGCTTCCGTTTCGTTAAACAAAGGTTTCATTGCATGACATATTCTCCCTTTGTTAGAATTTCACATTTTTCAGCCATTTTGATACATTATGTTTAGACCTGGGCAAATTTTTTTTCACGCATATCAACAAAAACAAATTGTTGACATTATGTTTTTTTTGAAAAATCATATTTATTCGGAATAGAAACGACCGTTTTCGGTCAGCCAACATTAATACACCATAATATTACCAATCCAAAATATGAATTTTCACCCCATGTAAAACATATTGGTTATTTTTATCAAATTTATTGTTTCATTCCCGTTCAAGTCCATCCCTCGTTTTAAACATAGAAATTGTTCCAAGTTGGAGTCTTTGAGTCTCACCACCGGAACTCTCAACACGGACTGTCTTCCAACCGAAACATTTGGCACAAACGCTTCAATTGATGCACAAAAATACATATATATATATATATATATATGTATATATAAATATCCAAACATGTGACTATTATTTCACGTTTTTTGATAATTTTGTATACGATATACGAATTTGAATGTACAAATTATTTACAGTTTTCTACGATCAAAAATAATGTCCGAAGATTTTTAAACGGTAACTGATAACCGTTCGATACCACTGAAAAAACGGAAAACCGTGTCGAAGTGGTCACTGGTATCAGAAAATTCGTCGGTTGCCACCCCGCGTTTTGACATCTTGACCTGAATTGTCTGCGATTCGAGGGACATATTTTTCAATGGAAACCTGTCTTCGAAGTTCAACCGATCCGTTTGTCCAACGTTATTCTTTCCTATCCACGTTTGTGATCGTGGAGTTAGCGATCTAAACTAGTGGCACACACAGAATTTTTTTTCGAGGGAGGGGTCCAAGGTAAAAATATAACACATTTTACAATTAACAAAATTATGCAAATCCTTAATATATTTTGACTTAAATAATAGCATTGATAATAGAATAGACTATTCTATAATCAATGATACTAGGTATTCAATACTAGCTCTTCATATTTCAAAATTGTAAAATTTGTAAATTTTAACCTAGATATCGGAAAAAATTTCGGGGGGACAACCCCTTAACCTCCCCCCCCCCTGCGTGCGCCACTGATCTAAACGGTTCAAACGTTTTCGGCGCGTTCAGATCGTAATCAGTCTAATACGCTTACTAATAGTACGCAGTACAACAGCTTCGGTCCGAAACAATGCCGATGATTTATGGGGCCCCGTACATAGTAATTTATTAATTGTTTACATAAATCAATATTTATTTATTTTATTATACAACCGAATATATAGACACTATAGTTACGCTTTGGGCCATCGTCGACGATGAACGATTTCATTAATGAATTGCATCGCAACAATTCATCGTTCGCGGGGCTCGGTGCACTGGTCCGACACCCTAGACATTCCAGCACGTATCTTTACCACGTCTGACACTGTAGTTCTTTTGTTTTTCGAACCGCATCCATACGTACACGCATGTGATTCACGCGCGTTCGCGTTTCGACAGCCGGTATTCATTAACGATCGAAAAACGAATGGATTTGGATTTTTGTCCGGTCGCCGTACGAGTTTTTATCGGATTTATTATCGGGCTGAAAAACGAAACCTGAAAACCTTAAACGGAGCCCGGAGGAGGCGGTCGTGATTCATGGATGGTAATCACTACCTTGCACTCCCTCGGGCAGTACCGCTCTTACGGGCTTGGACTGCGACACCGCGTAGTGGCTGCAACCGACCGCGCACACGTTTATCTAAATCGTTTCCTGAAAACGTTTCGCGGCGTTTCCAATCGAACTGAACGTGAAGATCCACTCGCCACGGATCCGTGATAGCCCCGAGTGGGCACGTGCCGTCGTCCACGTATCCTCGAATGCGCACTCGCATCACCTCTTTTACAGGACGTCGTTTCCGGGAAACCTTGAACGTTCCGAGAGACGCCGACGCCCGTACCGGACGCACTTCTTGTCGTTTTCACCATATTAAGATAACACTATTATTATTGTATTATTTTTTTTTTTTTTTTTTTTTATTAAAAAAATGTTTGATTTATTTAAAATGTGGTGATTAGGATACTTATCAGATTTTTAATCGATTTGGTTCGCAATCATCTTCGTAAAAATGCAGTCAGTGGTTCATAATAATGAAACGATCAAATTGTTAATTCTTACTGCGTATGTATTTTTTATATTATAAAATCACTTATTTTTAAAAAAAATGTCAGAACCTTTCCCCCGCATAAAAAATTTGAAAATAGACCACTGAGTGTTGTCTTTATGGGCGCAATTAGAACCCAAATATTGAGGGTGCTGAAATTGTTGAAAGTAGAATTGAATGGTATTTCACCGTAAATTCTATAGATGGTGTAGATCTGATTAAAAAAAAACTGGAGCACTAAATTTGGCAGTGATACTTTATCACAATATTAATATTTTATTCTTATGGGACGAACACGGATTAAAATATAAAATAATGTATATTGCATGTTGACTTTGGAAAATCGCCTTACGTTATTTACTTGTATTTTCAACAACGTACTTGTGTGGACTTGAAATCAAAAATCAAAACAGAGAAAACGCTTGGACGTAAGTGACGGCATGCGTTTAGCTATGAACAACATTCATCCGAGAATTGAAAAACTGGTATAAGAAACCCAATTACAATAATCGCATTATATGCAATAATAGCCATGGACTGGCTAGGTGAGTTGGGAAGATTGATCTCAGTGAGCCGTGGACAATTGTCAGATTATGTCAGCCCAGAAGCATTAGAATAATAATACGGATTATATTATATAGTTAATTATTATATACATTATAATACTATACTAAAAATAAGTTTTGACAATCATGTTCATTTATTCGGTAATATTGTAATCGGTGATAATTAAAAATACGAGTAATATTATATATCGTTGCCTAACGCTTGAACAGATGAAAAATTGTTAATTCCGTTTACGAAAATTATATAGAATCAAGGTTACTTTTTTAATTCATATGTTGTTACAGGTCAGTTTTTCAAAATTATAAAATGGACCGCAAGACTATCAGATTTCCCTGAGCCGTTCTGTTTCCAGTCCGTCCCTTTCCGTGGTGGTAAACATACAATATATGGTACAATATTACAATGCGCCAAGTGCATGTTTCTGAAATCACGACTTCAACGTTGACACGTATCACGTTCGTTTTCTCGGCTCGGCAGCGTTCTGGAAAACTTCGATCCATCTCCAGTCTGAGACTTGATTCACGTGCACCTTGTTCCTCCATTGCTGTGTTCGTGTGGATCCATTAAAATAACGAGCTAGTACTAAAACGGAACTAAAACTTAACAATCGACGTAACAAACAATTCTAATGATACTAATATGGACATAAGAAAAAGTAGTATTTTTTGTAATTGACCAAAAAACATATTTTCGTGGAAACAAATTGAAAGTTTAGAAAATTGTTTCGTGTCGATTCGAAATATATGTAATATTTCGAAAAAAAAAATGTTTCTCGAAATCACGTACGTTCGTCGGAATAAATAGAATTAAAAGAATCATCAATGGTGTTGTGTGATTATCGCATTCGTGTTCAGATTTCAGCTGTTTCAATATCTGACAGACGGAAATGGTTAGTAGGCATGCAGTACGATCAAATCACGTGGTCTTATATACGAGCAATATCATTCGTAATAATTATTCAAAATATTATTCTATTGCAATGACCGATTATTTCAACTGCTGTATTTCTCCGGATAACTTTTTTCCTTCGATTTCGACGGGAAATTCATTTTTGTACGTCTTCCATCAATATGTGTGTTTTGCAATATATGCAGAAAGTATGATACGTGCACGGTTCAAAGGACGATGTTAACGTGCCTGGTCGGATATTTCAACACATCAGCCCTTTTAGTAATTATACTTACAATTTGGTATAATTTATCTCTAAATTAATGCTACACTAAAAAGTTATTTCCATGTGGTACAAGTTAGACTGCCATCAACTTTCATTGAAGTGAACGCTCAAGCCTAGTACTTCTATAAGGAAGACATACGTTTGGCATAAATAATAAACAAATGTGACTAGACAATTTTTGAATTGGACGTTTATCGAAGAATTCAATTATATTGCGAACTATTCACTAATATTTTAACCCTAAAAACGATACCGTCAACCGTGCCAAATAAATTATTGACAAATCCATAAGGGTCAATTTTCAAGTGGTGCGTGTGCTAACACGTCAAACGATTGTTTCCGATAC